GCGTCGGCCGAGGGAAGTCGGCCGACAGCCTTTAGGGCAGAGCCTGCAGGAGCACTGTGCATGAGGAAGCCCAATCAGTCAAGATGCTCCCTTAGAAAGCCCGACAGCTGGGTGGATACTGTAATCACCGCTCCATTCCTTTGCCCCATGCTACATGTAATGTTGTGTGGTTAAAAAAAAACAAGGCATCGGCCGACAGAAGAAGGCCGACAACCTTTAGGGCAGGGCCTGTTACAGGGCGGCGGTGTGCTGTCATGAAAATGTCACCAATCACGGACTGCACGAAAGCAATGGCTTGCAGTTCAGATCACTGCTTTAATGCGAGGAGTTGTTCACCGACATCATCTTGACCCTGCTGACCCTGGTGCTCACCCTCACCCTCACTGTCACACTTGCGCTTCAGGCTCGGCGCGTAAACACGCCGCTCCGCCAGGAGCTTCGCTTCGTCAGCCTTGAGCTGCTCGAGGCGGAAGTCGATCTCCGCAATCATGATCGACGCTTCCCGCTCCTTCCTTTTTTGGTCGGCTTCTTGCAAGCTCACCTGTAGTGACTTGCGGGAGTGGGTTTCAAACCCAATCTTCAGCTCACCCTTGACCTCAGCCACCGCATGCTTCGGCATGTTCTCATCTGCAATCTGACCCTCACCCTCGCTCGACTGCGGCTGCGTGGGGTTCAAGAACGGAGCGTTGGAGTACCAGAACTCCTTGGCCAGACACATACACACATACATGCACGCACACACAAGTATCATGGTCTCACAAGCTACATGCTCCTGAGACAGGGCGCACAAACAGGCGAGCTCCTGTAATCGAAGTGCACCAAATTGGATGGCAACTTCGCGAACATGAACGCCGTCACCGGAAACCTGGGTCTGGAGCTGTTCTTCAGCTACTGACAGACCTGACTGACAAAGCTAAGCAACACCAGTCGTTGCCCCTTGAATGCCAAGAAGGCCGCCCAAGCCAGCTGGTCCTGCGAACCAAAGTACATCTGGTTGGCGACGCAGGGGCGGTCGTTCTTCCTCATGTGTTGCGGAAACCTGTTTCGAGGGATTCTATCGTAGACCAATACGTGAATAAATTAACCCATTTGGAACGGGCTTGTGCGCACGCACACCATCCTTACGTCCTATGTGCTAACATCCCAATCAAGTCGCAATGCATTCTTGAGAACGTTGGCACCCACCGTTTCATGGGTCTGCGACTCCGAGTCTAGCTGAAGCACGCACCAGGCAGCAGTCGATCTGTCCACAACTTCAATCCTTGTGTTCACCGTCATAATGTCCAGATCGACTTGATTCGTCATCCTCGTCAGGACAAAGCTGCCGTCACCATCTCGAAATTCAATCTTCCTTAGTTTCGATTTGCTCTTCTTATCTGCTGACTGCTGTCCCACCCAACACAGCTGTCACCAATGCAACCTTGTATCTTGCTTTCCACGAGGCTCTGCAATTCCTCCGTTGGAATCTTCGCTTCCAAGATCTTGAACTGGCGCATCTCAGTCAGCGTAATCAAGGGTTGGCGATTTCCCATACGCACATTGTAACCCCCCACATCGGCAGGGTTCGTTGCCGTCACCCTGTAGCCGAGCCTGAGGTGCCATGCAAACGACCCATTTCAAATCCCAACCCTACAGTCTACGCGTTGGCACAAACCAGGGGCTACACAATACCCATTCTTCCTGCCACCCAGGAACTGCCGCACCCGTTGCTTGGAGTATTTCGCGACGGCCTCGCCAATGGAGGGAAGGAAGAGGGCCGGCAGGTGCTGGGGATAGAGCGGCTCAACCTCACCAGGGAACAGCATGTAGCCCAACATGTCGATTGTCGTCCGAAGCCGCGGGGAGGACAAAGGGAAGGGCAAACTGCACGTGCAAGCTGCGAGCTGAATGTCGGCACGCACAGCACTATCTCCATGATTCGATGAGCAGGCAGACTGTAAGAAAACGCAAGCCGGCGTGCCACCTGAAAACGAGGTCATCTCTTTTTTGTCGGCACAGGCTGACAGGGGCGCTTCGCAGACGGCCTACTTACGGGCTCTGCTAGCAGATCTTCCATGCTGTGCAATCTGCAGTGCTGCAAGGTTCAGAAACAAATCACCGCGTGCAATCTTCTCTTCACTTTTTGCACTGCTGACAGCCCCAGCAAGTATAGGTTGTGACTCCTTCACCGAATGCCGAAGCATCTTTAAAAAAGGCCGCCGGGGGAAGCTTGGCAGACGGCCTTGCGGGCTCCGCTAGCGGATCTTCAATGCTGTGCAATCTGCAGTGCTGCAAAGGTTCACTGAACGAAACAAATCACGCCTTACAATCTTCTCTTCACTCTTTGCACTGCTGAGTCACGCAGCCTTTAGAGGTAGCCTTGACCGGTGCTTGCCTGTACAATCACCTGTTTCTCGAGCATCAAGCACGCTCTGATCGGCTTCAGGGCGCTGCCCGCAAGCTTCATGTGCCAGACCCACGAGAGCTTCTTGCCTTCGCTGCCCAGTACCGTGACCCTCAAAAAGTTTAAAGTTCTCTTGTACTCTAGGGATATAGGAAAAATTCAAGCTCACCTATTGCCCTCCTAAGTTGCTCTTGATGTAGAACTCGGCGTTTTGCACGACCTGTCTGACATGAAAACCCTAGACCCTAAACACTCAAGCCTAAACCCTAGACCCTGAAGTGCCTTCTGCAGTGCCGGGTCCGGGACGAAGTGCATTGCGGTGCCGCGGCTCCACACTTCCGTCACCTTGTTGGCGTCCATGACCTCCTTCAAGGTCCTCACCTTCTCGTCAAAGAACACCTTCGTTTTTTGGGTGTCCTGGATGTTGTAGACGATACTGCACCCTGATGAATCTGTGGTCTTGAACTTGCCAGCCGCAGTGGTCAAAACAATCGTGCCAGGGAAGATGCGCTTGTTGCTTGGCAACTTCCCGTCACCCACCTTGATGAAAAACTTGCCATCCGCATCGCACAACTCGAAGGCCAAGTCGTGAGACTTGAACGCGTGCCTCAGGGGCAATTGGAGCTTAACTGCGTGCAAGCAAACTACAAAACTACGCCGCTGCACTCCGCCGCACTGCCTGCCTTGAGCTTTGCGACGGCGGCGGTGGTTTCGTCTCACCCTTCTCGTCTGCTGGCTTTGGGAGCGGCACTGGCGGAACAGGTGCTGCCGGTGTTGGTGCAGGCTCACCCGGGGAAGACCCTGCCGTATCAGCCTTTGGAGTCTCTGCCTCACCCGTTGCAGCCTTTGACGACTCTGACTCTGTCGCCGCAATTGGCTTGAAAAAATCCATCTTCATCCTCTTCCACGCTGAGCCACCACACGCGACGTCCACGAGGCTCGCGTCCAAATACAATGTGGAGCCCTTTGCCACTCCCACGCCGTTTCGGGTCTTCACCACCAGGCTCAATAACTGATCTGTCGCTCCCTGATCGAGGTTCACCTTCACCGTGCAGTTGGACCTCTTCCCGGCCTCCGGAATCGACACCTCACCGTCACAGGCGCGTTTATACTGCATTGTGTTGCATGAACACTGGCCTTGGCAGCGGCTCCCACCATCACCGAGTACACCGGACCGACTTCACCCGCACTGAGGGGCATCTCCTGAAATACAAGCACTCTCTCTCGAGCATGCGAGTCTCAAAATGGGAAAGTCAGAGGAAAAACTAATTCAAGCGAGGTCACCGTCTTGCACACTCTGCTCACCAATGTAGGGCAAGCACGAAGGGTGTTCACCAGTGAGGTCTCCGACGTGTAGTGCAGGCAGGAGATGTTCACCAGTAGCTCATTGTCACGAAAGGCTCGCGCTGTCGTCAAGCAAACCTCAAGCTCGGAAGAATGAGACTCAAACCTAGTTCACCCTGGCATGTGTTGCATGAGGCTAACTCAGTCTGGCAGCCATGCCGTCGGCAGACTGGCTCCAAGCGAGCTCACCCTTCATCAGCTCCTGCTGGGCCAGCTTGGACATCACCTCCTCGTGGTTCTGCGGAATCACCCTGTTCAGCCCGAAGCGCCAACAGGAAATGTCGACCGGCACATCCTTCAAACACAGCACGTCACTGGTCACCCGTTCAAGCTGTATNNTCACCCATGGTGAGAGGCCGCTTCTTGTCATGGGTCACCAATTTCCTGGCTTCTGGCAGCTTGATTTTCACCGCTAGACGGCTCATCAAATCTTTGCCGTGCGCCAGCGCATGTGGCTTTGGACCCGTGATGAAGCCGACGACCTGCGCAAAAGCACCAAGAACAGGAAAGAACATCCGGTCGTCATCTAATCTACACCAACGCAAGCACTGGCAAAGCGGATCTGGCCTCACCGCACACCTGCTGCGCAGCCAAAAGTATCGAGGGGTGAGCTGTCCGGGTGGCAATGACAGCCCAGCTGGCTTGGCCGTTGGCTCGGAAGATTTCACCCAACACCTTCTGATGGTGGTCCATTGACTTGGCAATCAGCCACAAGTCCACGCAGTACGGGGTCTCGTCATCATCACCGTCAGTGGTCGGAGGAGGCTGCTTTTCCGTGGCGGCACCCTCGTCGTCTTCGTCATGCTCCTCGTTCACATCCATATCATCCTCACCGCCTTGATCTTTCCCCTGCATGTCGTCGGGATTCATTTCGACATTGGACTGTGTCCCCTTTTTCTGCTGCTCACCCTTCTCTTCCTGCGGTCTGAAACCTTGGCTGGCTGCCGAAGCTGCATCACCGCATGAATCAAACCACAGTGACATCACGAGCGCGAGCTGTTATAACGTAAGCAATCACGCCAAGCAACGACAGTTCTTGTTCAAACACCTTAAGCGCAGCTCCTCGTAGGACTTGGCACGGNNNNTCTTCTTCCCGCGGGAGTACCTCGGATCACCGTCAGGAATGGCCCGGGGTTTAGGTTTAGGGTTTCACCACTCACTCTCGGACTTACTAGGGTTTAGGGTTTAGGGTTTAGGGCTTTAGGGCCGGAACGCTGCCAGGGCACACGAAGTACGTCACCTTTTTGTTCTTGGACTGCGCAGCCCCAGCCGTGCACGTCACCACATAGACTTCGCGTGACGGTGTCAACGTCTTCATCTTCGCTTCCACCAGTCCTAACAGCTCGAACCTGCGACCACAGCACACCCCGAACGAAACAAAGTCCGGGCTCACCGTTTTCGTCACCGCTTTGAAGGTTGCCTCCATGTCGTCCAGCACGATCTTCGGCTTGCTCGTCGGCTCATCGATGTAGATCACCCCTCGTGAGCCATCCTTCAAAATGCCCTCGCAAATGTCAACGAGCCCTTGATCACCCTGCACCTGGTGTGTCACGTGGATCTTCGCCAGCATCGGGAGGGAAAGCCTTGTTTCACCAGTGTCTGCGGGCTTCATTGGGTCTAATGATGACAGAACTTAGATGAGATCGCCAAGCAACTCTTCAGCCTTCTCTTCAACTGGATTCACCTCTGACTCTGGAGCAAGAGGTGCCGTCCCCATCTCCTCATCATCCACCTGCATCATCTCAGTTGAGTCACCAAGGGCCGGAGTGGGCGCCGTCACCGCTTCGGAGGAGGCAGCCGATGGTGCGGCAGAAGCAGCGGCCTGAGTATGTGTGACGTTGCCTTCACCTTGACATTTTCCTATCATGACCATGTGCAAAACCTCCTCACAAGCGAAGCACTTTACAGCCGAATCCGGACATCCCCCACAACACCAAGAAAGTCACCAAAAAATGAGGAGAATTTACAACCCTAAAAAGCCTAGACCCTGGACCCTCCACAATCACCAGTATATCCGATGTTGAGGCAGGTCTCCTCCAGAGCGTCAAGCGCACTGATCACCGCTATGCATTCTGGGATTCCGGAGTTCTCTACGGTCTTGCTGCCGTTGAAGCTCACCGCTGCCCGAATGCAGGTCCTTACCCGGCAGGCTCGTGTCTGCTTTCACCCTTTAAACTCTCACAGACACACATGCTGTCAGGCGGCAGAATCTTCTGACGGCCGCGCTCACCCTTCAGCATCTCGAGGCACCGCGGAAAAGCCGGGCATCGCGAAATCACCTTTGCATACTTCGACCTCGTGGCTTTCTCCCAAGTCTGTGCTCTGTACTGCGGCACGCAGAACTCAGAGATGAACTCTTTGGTGTTCACCGACTTGCTCTTAAGGTCCAGCACATCAAAGAGCTGGGCGAGGGCACTATCCGCGTACTCACTCTTCAGAAGGTAGCCTCGGATGACAAGTACCCTCCCCCGGCTGCAGAAGAGAGCCTCCGACTGTCGTACAGCCAAGAAGCGTGCTTCCTCACCCATGCCAATAAGATGTCGATTGGCGAAAACATAGGACTGGGGAAGGTCCGGGCGGGAAGCCAGCAGACTCAGTGTGCTTGGAGCAAGTGTCTGTGCTGCCTTCACCCATCCATGGATCGTGGATCTGCGGTGAGAACCGAGGACGTCACACATCAGCAGCTCTGCCTCCACCGCTGTGCTCGCACGGTTCATGAACCTCAGTTTTCGAAGCAAGCAGCTCGGAGATGCTCCAACCGAAATTGCTCTAGATGTGAAAGCAAGGGGCTGCTTCACCAGTGTGACCTTGCTGAGAACACTGTGAGTCCTCAACTTGTTGTTGTCACTCTCGTGAGCGTTCACGTAGAACAGCGAGACTGCCGCCGCGTCGACGTCGTCACCGAACGTCACCAAGTCCACCCTGAGCCCGGTCTCAAGCACGTCCCGGAGCTCACCCTGAAACCACGTCGGCGGAGTCTGAGCCTTCTGCGCTTCACCCTGAAGGGCACGCAAAGCTGCGACGCAATGCTTGCCGTCGGCGAGGCGCAAACCACCATCACTCGCATGCAAGGGCTCGGGACGACTCACCCCTGCGAGCACTGAAGGCCTGGCCAACCTGGTCTGGCCAAATTCACCGTTCCGAAACTTGGCCGCGAGCTCACCGATGTGATCCTGCAAAAGATCACCCTATCATGCATACACGTCACCCAACATGTGTGAGACCATCCACCTAAATAGCTCGGTCCTCTTCCAAGGGACGGTGTCCTGAATCATCTGCCAAAGAGAGCTCGGACAACTTGATCACCCTGCTGGTGAGAATCTGAATCTGCATGCCAAGAGTTTTCTTAGACGCAGGAGCCATCACCAATGAGGGCACAAGAAAAGAGGGCAGCGTACGAAACTGTCTGCAGGTTGTCTTGACAACTGAAATCTTGCGGTCCAGGCCAAGATTTGGAGTCAATGCACATGACGCCTCCTGCAAGAACTCAAAACTTCGGGCACCCGGCAGGATCACCACGGACGCAGAAGTCCCCAGACCTGTTAATCACCAGTAGGAAATGGCAACGTCTCCAGGACCGCAGCTTGGAGTCAATTTCAATGCACATGACGAATCCTGCAAGAACTCAAAACTTCGGGCACCCGGCAGGATCACCACGGACGCAGAAGTCCGCAGACCTGTTAATCACCAGTAGGAAATGGCAACGTCTCCAGGACCGCAGCTGCCGGTTCGGAACCCGAAATTTTGGCATACAGCGACTGCGTGGATCCCATGACACGACGCTTGCTGCCAACTTGAAGCTCCGGGCGTCCGGCCAAAGCGCGCTGCCAGCAGACCTCACATGAACAATCACCGTGCAACTCAAAAGTCGAACTTCAGGGCTCGGGGTTCCGAACCCGGAATTTAGGCGTACAGCCACTGTATGCCGAACTTGGGGGTTCCGAACCCAGCAGGCATCGGATCTGTTGAAGATGCTCTACTTTAGCTGAGTAAAGCCAAGAAACAACATAGTTGTGGGGTTCAAGTATGGCTACCAACAATATAGCCATACAGCGGCTGTACCCTTAAATGTGGGGTTACCAATTCTTGACCCTGGCAATCCTGTTTACCACTGCGCGGGGCACGTACGCAAGTGAACCCATCACCCTGGCCCTGAAGTGCTGCCTCTGCTGTCAATCACCTGTAGCTTCCAAGGAGAGCCCTGTTTTCTCGCGGCACGGCAGCGCACGAGCACATAAAAGTCTGTCACCTGTGCTCCAACATGAACGTGCGCACTTGTCACCCTTGACCTGGCAGTCACCCTTGTGGCAGCGCAT